AGCTGAATGTTTTGGGTTGAGAACAAAATGTGAATACAAGCGCTAAGCTATAACACTGTAAATCTCTGTGGGAGGGTGCATAGTGGAGATGCAGCCAATGGTCCCCTAGGGATTGGTGTGACATCGGCATCCACTATCAAGTAGAGCTGCAGGAGCTTAGAAAAACCTGCCTGGTGAGCAAAAGCTCTTTAATAAAATCACATACTCCAAGCTATTAACTAAAAAGAGCCTAATTAAAGCTTCACGCTGTTCATCTTAAATATATCCAGCTGTTTCATATGTTACAGTATGTCAAAGTGGAGCATAAGCATATTTAAAAAATGAGAGTGTATAACATTTTTTGTTCAGTTTGTACCTTAGACCACCCATTCCCTCCAAAAGAGAATATCTCACCCCACTTGGAAAATGTGCTGCAAATCACAGCACATGTACAGATATATTAATTCTGTAAAACTAAAAGCACGTTTAATTTTATTTTTTTAATACAAATTCTGCTTCTTTTTGAACTCCCTAACTAGTGCATTGCTAACCATCCCCTGTTGGGATGATCAGACTTTACCTGAGAAAAGATAATTGCCTTGATAATTCCCTTCTTTTTTCTCATACTGGTGAGCTCAAGAAAATGGAAATGAAAGCCCATTAAGACAGTGATGTTGCCCATTGCCCAACCCACCTCTTAAACTGGATTGTAGAGTGATCCGTGAGGGAGCAGTAAGCATCCTAAATATCACTTAATATGGATTGTTTCCTGAACAACTTTTCGCTGTGCCATCACGGTACCTGGGTTTTCAGTGACAAAGCTGGCTCTAAGAGCAGCCACAAGCTGTGAACCTGCTCTTTTGTGGGGCTGCAACCCTCTCCAGGGGGTTGAACCCTAATTCTCTGGACCAAGGAAAATCTACTGGAGAAGCATACCCTCCAACATCTCTCTGATGAAAATAGAGATGTTCTAGTCGTCTTCTTCTTCTTCTTCTTCTTCTTCTTCTTCTTCTTCTTCTTCTTCTGTTTATTTATACCCCATCCAACTTACTGGGTTGCCCGCCACCCTGGCTGTCTTCCAACATATATATAAAAATAATAATAAAACATTTAACATTAGAAAACTTCCCTATACAGGGATGCCTTCAGAGGTCTTCTAAAGGTTTTATAGTTACTTATCTCCTTAGCTCAGGGGTCACATAACTCCACACCCTCCAACATTCCTCCAAAGAAAATGTCCTAAGGAAAAGCAGGACATTCCAGGATCACATCAGAAACTGGGATGGCTTCTGTAAATCTGGGACTGTCCCTGGAAAAGGTCTGCAGATGTGAGAGACATTTTATTCAGTTCACATTTAAAGGCAACCTAATTCATACTTTCTGAAACAATACACATACTGAAAAACGGTCGTCTTCCAAGATGTACACTTCTCCAGATTTTGCACTGTATACCAAAATGCGGCTATTGAAGTATGTATAAAAATGAATTTATTAATGAAAATAATATACAACAAAATGCATGTATCAGGAAACATTTGCACTAAAATACAGATTAATTTCCATGAGGCTTTAAAAACCAATATCGAAATGTGGAAAACTGACCAGCTCACAGCTTTGTTTCTTGGAGATACGCTCCCAGCAGATAGAAGGTTGGGGAACTTTGCATCTCAAATGGTAATGGTCTAACAATGCTGTAATTTTAATATACACAAAAGTCAGAATGCCCTCATTACAAAACATTAAATTTAATGTGTCCCGTTTTAGGTATTCTTTCATTTATTTTCTGTAGTTCCAAGGTTAGTAGAGGTCTTGGCATCTCCATGCCACAAAGAGATACAGTTGTACTGCTAAATTGGTTTTATTGTCCTCTTTCACAATACATTTGCGTCTTTAAAAAGCACATAATTAGCTAAGGGATTTCATGTCTTCACTTTTAGGCAGAACAAGAAATAATAGGTTTTAGGGCAGAATTAATTCTACTGCATTCAGAATAAAGTGCATGCTATATGCATTAGCATGTTAAGGGGAATCACTGTTTTTGTCTTCTGAAAACAACAACGCTGTACAATTTAATCCTGAATAATTATTGGAGCTTTCTGAGCCTTCATCATTGTCCAGCTTTTTATTTCTAATCTATATGAATGACCTGTCATCTCTACTCATCAGATCATTAGGAGAGATTTATACAGATTATGTGGTGATTTATTGTGAGTCTGTTAAAATCTCTGCATGCCGCTGGTGCCTTCATTTTAGGCATGGACAACATCAGTGATTTGCCCGAGTTAAATAATTTATCACAGGAAACAAAACAGAGATTGACAAACTGGGAACCTTAAAGTGAGTAAATTAATCTAAGAGAGATTTTGTAAATTTTCCATGCACTCACCTCTGCCGTGAAAAAATAATACTGTTGCACACTGCCCCATTCTCTGAGTGCTGTGAGATACCAGTGGTTTCAGGTGCTTAAAATGTGTTAGCTACCTGAAACTTGTCTCTCTTCCTGGGCTAGGCTGGACTGCTGGAACCAGAGCACCCTGAAAGCCTACCCACTGAACATGTGCCAATAGCTAACTTTAGGAAGAAAAGGGGGAAATAGTAGTTGCCACACTTTATGCTGGTAAATATGAACAATCTGAATTTCCAACACAAGGAATGACACCAGCGTGGGTTACTTGCTGGTGAGACAAAACCTCCTGAGTCTCATGCTTGCCTGTTGTGAAGTAAGCTTTATGCTTTAAACACTGCATCCTTTCACTTCCACTTTGTGGAAGGCAAGCCTGTCAAGACATTAAAAACTAATTCAGTCTGTGGAGTGTCTTGCTGCATTGGAGTCCATGCATTTTACGGATGACTCATAATTGTTGTATCATTCAGATTAGATGATTGAATTCCCCCTGACTTGCTCCTTCCAACATATACAAGTGAGAGGATTCAGTGAATCGGTTTCCTCCCCCGTGGCAGTAAATAAGAAGATCAAACAAAAGGAATGTCTTACCAGTTAGATTCTTTAATAATCACAGCGAGAGAGAAAAGAACACGTCTCCCTAGAAATGGCGGTGCTCCCAGTTAAGGCTGGCTCCCCCCCCCCCGTAAATTATTACTCTTCATCACTCCTACATTTTGTATTCTGAGATTGTACCCTCTGCTCTTTCTGTTCTAACACTCTCTGAGCTCTCCGTGTCTTTGGGGAAGGGTGTGTGTGAATGCTTTCCAGAGACAGTGAATCTGTTAGCTCTCTCTCTCCCAGTGCTTCTTCCCCATCCAGTATTTCCCAGCTTCTGCCTTCTGAACTATGCCCCTCTGCAAACCACTGCTCCAAATCTATACTGTCCTCCTGCTCCTGGGGAGATTCAGGATCAGGGGAAGGGTCTGGCTCCCACCATTCTTCCTCAGTGCAGCCCTCCTCAGCCCGGTCCCTGACAACAAGTGAATACATGACCAGTGTGAGAGGAAAGAGATTAGGTATTCTTACCTGTACAGCTGGCTTTGCGTAATTGCGTGCCTTGAAATACTCATGGTTGTATTCAGCCTCTGCATAATTTTTCATTTTAATTAAATCACTTTCAAATAGTCCAAAGCAGAAGCAAAAGGAGGTGACCTGGATATCTGGTTGGGTTAGATCCGTTGTGATGAACAATTTGTGCTGCCGTCAAAAGTACCTTATTTAATCCTACAGGATAATAATAAAAAAAAGCATCAACGGCAAGCACACCATCTCCAGGACACAATAACTCTGCTTGAATGCAAAGGTTTCTGAAATCTCTGCATTTATATTGAATAATTTTCCTCCTCTCGTCAATCATTAATTTTTTCTATCATTTCAGTAATGTATGTACATGGACAGAGTACAGCAAATTTTATACATTCAGCATCACTATCTGTGGCGAAAATCTTTTTAAAATCCCAAGAATGGTCTGGTCTCTTTACTCTGTAAATATAGGCAGTGCTATTTTTCTAGAAAAAGAGGTGCTGGAACTCTCAATGAACACCTCCCTCGTTCTCTTAGAATAGCAATGGCACCCACCTTTGAGGTGCTAGAACTGAGTTTTGGCGAGTTTCAGCTGAAAAAAGCCCTGAATATAGAAGCCTGGGCATAGTTTTACTGTGTTGTTGTTTTTTTCAATTTTGTAAGAAATTAAGACCACATTGAGAACATATGAATGACTGAATCTTTATTTACGTCAGCCATTGGCCATAGCAATAAAATAACAATACCATATACAAAGAATAGAAATAAAAAGTCAGTTATATAAAATACAATTTAGGGTTTTGAATCCAGAGTCAAATACTGGATCTTATTCTAATTGCCCCAGCTTGCACCTTGCACATTGGCAACATATGTTTAAAGTACAATGGCTTCCTCCAAAGAATTCTAGGAGCTGAAGTCTGTTAAAAGGGTTGGGTTGGGGTGACCTGTCCTGTTTCACTCCCTGAGGTAAAATAGGAAGGTGACGCCCCACTGCCAAATATCCCCCCTGCAAAAGACGCCCTACCTGGGTTGCAAGGCAGTGATGGGTTCCAGCAAGATCTTGCGAGATCTTGGAGAGCTCTTGTGAGATGTCACGGAACGCACTAGATCGTGAGAAATTTCCATAAGATCTCACTGGGAAGCACTGCAACTTCTCCAACATAGACAGAGGCAGTGGGGTGCCCATGGAGGCGCTGCCTCTTGGTCTTCTGCCACCTGAGGCAACTGCCTCAGCCTGCCTCATGGGCCTGGTACTGAGAGTTGTTAGGAGACCCATTTCTCTCTCCCAGAGCTATAATTTCCAAAGTGGTTCAACAATCAATCCCTCTTTAAGGGGGTCTCTGGGAACTGTAGCCCTGTGAGAAAAATAGGGGTGTCCTAACAACGGTCAGCACCTTTAAAAAACTACCACTCCCAGAATTCTTTGGGTGAAGCCTGACTGCTCAAAGTGGTATCATAGTAATTCAAATATGTAGTGTGAATGTGGCCTATATTTTACTATATTTTATAGGCACCGTCAAATGTCATTTGAATGGATGCAATTGGGACTTCCTCTTTTTCTCTGCATTTGTGCCCTCCCCAAATCTGCTCTGGAATGCCTCCGCTAGAGCAGATTTGGGGGGGGGGGGGAGATGCAGGGGAAGAGAGAAAGGAAAAGTCTTACTGCACCAATGCAAGTCCATGCGGGATCAAATTCATCCAGTGCTTTACCAACTGCACTGGCTCCCAGTGGAGTACAGGGTCAGGTTTAAGGTGATGGTTTTGACCTTTAAAGCTCTATGCGGCCTAGGACCCACGTACTTAAGGGACCGCCTCTCCTGGTATGCCCTGCGGAGGACCTTAAGGTCCACAAATGACAACATTTTGAAGATCCCAAGTCGCAAGGTGGTTAGGTTGGTCTCAACTAGGGCCAGGGCCTTTTCAGTACTGGCCCCGACTTGGTGGAACACTCTGTCACAAGAGACTAGGGCCCTGCGGGACTTGACATCTTTCCGCAGGGCCTGCAAGACAGAGCTGTTCCGCCTGGCCTTTGGTTTGGACTCAGTCTGACCCTTATGTTTCCCTCCCCTTATGGTTTTGACTTTTAAACTGCATTTTAAATTGCATTTTAAAATGTTTTTTTTCTTTTTCGCCCCCCCCCCCCCCATTATGTTTTTACTGAAATTTTATTGGTGTTAGCCACCCTGAGCCTGGCTCTGGCTGGGGAGGGCGTGGTATAAATTATTATTATTATTATTATTATTTTACGGATCTCATCCCATGTGATTTTAAACAGAACATCCTAGCTATTGTTGATGACTGGTTGTTCACAAACTTGAACTGAGGCTGGGCTTTAAACTCTGGAAGAATGAATATTCTTAGAAACATTTCTGTGCGTTCCTCAAAACCTTCTGTGTCATTCACTCTTGTTCCACTATTTTACAAAAGATTTAGAACTGATTTAGAACTGATGCATGTGCATAGAAAAATAGTGTCACAAAATGCTCCTGGACCTCAATATGCAATTTGGCCACCTGTCATGGATGCTTTAGCTGAGATTCCTGCATTGCAGGGGGTTGGACTAGATGATCCTTGGATCCCTTCCAACTCTACGATTCTATTAAAATATCCATGCATTTTACTGCAGTCACCTCCCTGGCTTGCTTGGTTTGTGATGGCAGGGACTTTTCCACATCTAAATATGCAAACTTTTAAGCATTTAAATATGTGATCTTTTCCCTGAATTCCGAAGCGGTACATTCTAGTGAGCCCTGTATCATGTTCTTTCCAGTTGTTTCTTTCTGTATTTTAGAACAGCACATTCAAATATGGAATTTTGTCTACATGCATTTTGCTGGGAGATGGCTGGTCTTTATACTGCTGGCAGGAAACAGTCTAGCTCATCTGAAGAGATGATATATGTTTCAAGTCTTGAATATCAAAAAACATACAAGAAGCAATATCAGATAGGGAATTCACTGTGGAGCTGCTGCTTATTTTAAAGACTAGCAGCAAAAATCTTGATGCTTATAATTCTCACTCAAGTCGTAAACTGCACCTATGTGTCTTGGGATATACTAGAGTTAAATGAATACAATAAAAGATAGTATGTATCTATGGGACATTTACATAAGCTGACAATGTGGCTCTCACAGTGAAATATTTATTTATTTATTCTATTCCTATTCCGCCCTTCATCCGAGGAACACAGGGTGCTTTACAATATAAAAACATACACAACATAGTAACAATCAAGTCAGCTCTGCCGTCTCCCACACCTGTCTGGGATTGGGCACAATATTGTTAAAGAAAATGCTGTCAGGTAATCCATTTGAGGTCGTAACTTCATGTTTGCATGAATTGGGTTAGCAGTAGCTTTAATAGAATAAGGAAAACTCTGATCCTAAACCTTCTCTGCCTTGAGGCTATGACCATTCATGAGAAAGGCTTCGGAAGTAAACCCCAAAGAAAAATCCAAACCCTCTGCCTTGCTGGGCATCTTCAGGAGCAGAAAAGGCTATGGAGTAAACTCTACACAAATCTAGAGTGGAGTCCCTAAAATGGTTGGATGACAACTTGTGCGCCTCCTTCTGGCAACTCCCACAGTTAAGCCAAACATATTGCTCTGCTCTCCTTTGGACCACATCATGAGAAGAGAATTGCTGCTATGACCAAAGTCCCCTCTAAGTCTAGAAGCCTCTTCCTCACATCTGGCTGCCCAGATGCCTCTAGGAAGAACACAAGCAAGACATGAAGGGCCATGGTTCAGTGGTAGAGCATCTCAAATTGAATCCCTGGCATCTTTAGATGGGACTGTAACTGTCCCCAGTCTGAAACCCCAGATAACCATCAGATGTCAGTATAAACAATGAAGACCTAAATGGACCAATGGCTTTATTTAATATGGCTTTATTTAATAATATTTAACATGTTTAGCCTGGAGAAGAGGAGGTTAAGGGGTGATATGATAGCCATGTTCAAATATATAAAAGGATGTCACATAGAGGAGGGAGAAAGGTTGTTTTCTGCTGCTCCAGAGAAGCGGACACAGAGCAATGGATCCAAACTACAAGAAAGAAGATTCCACCTAAACATCAGGAAGAACTTCCTGACAGTAAGAGCTGTTCAACAGTGGAATTTGCTGCCAAGGAGTGTGGTGGAGTCTCCTTCTTTGGAGGTCTTTAAGCAGAGGCTTGACAACCATATGTCAGGAGTGCTCTGATGGTGTTTCCTGCTTGGCAGGGGGTTGGACTCGATGGCCCTTGTGGTCTCTTCCAACTCTATGATTCTATGATTCTATAATATAAAGCATATTGCTATCTAAGCAATTATCATCCCATGTTGCTCCCCCAAACGGATATTCAGTGGCATCCTGCCAGTGAATATTGATGGTCTATTTAGCCATCATGGAGTCTATACTTCATGAATTTCTCTAATAATCTTTGAAAACCATGTGTGCACAGACGCGATTTCCGGTGTCCGCACAGTCACGATTTTTGGCACCTGCGTCTGTGTAGACACAATTTTTGGCATTGCAGAAGTGAGTCGCCACTCCGCACTGCGCTGGTTTAGCACAGTGCACGGGCACTTGCCGAGCGGGTGGCTCGTGGGCCATTTAAACGACCCCCGTGGGCCACTTGTGGCCCATGGGCTGCAGGTTGAAAACCCCTGGCTTAAGCTTTCACCACTGTAAATAATTTGTGTCTCATCTGCGAACTTAGCCACCTGATTTCAGATCATTTATGAATACATTCCTTATTTGTTATGACCATTACTGTATTTACTCAAATCTAATGTTCACCTTTTTTGGTCAAATGACGTTGTGAAATTTAAGGTACATATTAGATTCAATGAGACATTTACATTCACCAGCAAATACTTTTTGGTTTCAAGGTTCTGAAAATTGAGGTGCGCATTAGATTTGGTGGCACATTGGACTTGAGTAAATATGGTATTTTTTGGTAATAAGCTATTCCACTATTAATATTATGGTAATCGTGCTATTGCATTATCATTTATCTCTCCTTTCCATTACAGGGATGGGATCTGAGTTTATGAGTCCAACCTTATACTATCCAATTTAAGCTACTTTTTGTGAAATAATAATATAAAAATAAAAATGCAATATTGACTAGAATGGATTTTTTCCTGTGCTTATTTCCCATTCTGGTCAATATATCACTAATATACCAACCCTATGGGTTGTACCTGAATAAAATATAATCTACAAAAGTTTTAAAGATTATTCCTCGATTAATGGTAGTCTATTAATCTCAGTTATTTATTGGTATAATAAGCTTAAGGCTGCACTGTACATTATAAAATGTGGGGAACAATCTTAATAACATTCCATAAGGATTAATAGGTGTTTACCATATCCATGCTAACCTTTCCACAATAGATTTATGATTTCTTATTAGATTATCATCTGTAAATCTGAAAGATTTATATGAATGCTATAATATTCAGGTCTAGGAAGGAAGGATCTTAAGCAGTGTTTTCATAAATCACGGTTGTTTGATTACTATTGGCCAGAAATACTTTCTGATCAAGATCTGTAGCTTACATTACTGTTCGGGGAGGAAGACTGTCACAACATCTCTGAGACTAAAATGAAAGCCATCCATCAGACACGGATGCAAGCAGTGATTATATTTCTTACCATTTAAAACTCAGTACTTTTTAATTAGTAGCCTGCAATATCTGATAGTTTTCTTTTAAGGCTATCAATCCAAAATTCTGTCCTCAGGCTTAATAATAATTTTATTTTATTATTTATTTCTCCAGGCTTAGCTGGAATAGACAATTATAAAGTCTGAAGGGGTGAAGCTTGCTCTTGGTGGCACCCCAGTCTGTGATATTAAGCAGAAATGAACCAGGAACATTTATTATTATTATTATTATTATTATTATTATTATTATTATTATTCTACCCCGCCCTCCCCAGCCAAGGCTGGGCTCACTGTGTGGGCAACTGTTGTCCATTTTGCTCCAGCAAGGTTGGCCATTTACACATCGCTGAGAAAGAAGAGAAGAGAGGTCACATATATGCATAAAATCAGCCCATGCAGATGCAAATGCATCCATAAAAATTTAGAATAATTCCTGACATTTTAATAGAACTACATTCTGGGAAAGCCTTTAACTGAGCTGAGGGTGATGAAACAATCGCTGAGACGGCTGGAGCGTTGGTGGCAGAAAACTCACTCCGAATCTGACCGGACACAGGTTAGAGCTCAACGTCGAGCCTACCAAGTGGCGATAGCGACGGCGAAGAAGACTTTCTTCACCGCCTCTATTGCATCTGCAGAAAATAGTAGCAGGAGACTCTTTCAGGTGGTTCACAATTTAACAGAACCACCTTTACCACCAGGGCCTTGTAAAGACCCCAAGATCTCCTGCAACGATTTTGCAAAGCTTTTTGCAGATAAAATCACTCATATTCGGAAGGAGCTAGACACCACCGTGGGAGCAGGGCCGGGCGGGAGAGTGCTAGAGCTCTGTCTGGTCAAGTTGCATGGAATCAATTTCAATCTGTTACCCCTGAGGATGTGGACAGGCTGCTTGGACGCGTGAAACCAACCACCTGTCTCCTTGATCCTTGCCCATCCTGGCTAATAAAAGCAAGCCGGGAAGGGCTGGGCGATGGGCTCTGCGGGGTGGTGAA